CATCAAACCATCTCGAACTAATTCATTAACAAATGTTTGAATTGGTTCAGACTCGTAGAACCATTTTAAACGAATAATAAAAAAATTGTTATATATACAATCGGAAACATCAGTGACATCGTAGAGGAAGTGCTGTAAAAGGGGTTCCATTGGTGTAAACGGTTCCGAATACGTTGCGCGATAAACATAATCTAACTTTTGTCTATCAACATAAAGGAAAAGATCTTTTCCAGTTCTATCAGAAAAATACGAATCGGCATCCATTCTCATGAGATAATCGTATTGACCTTGTATGATTGCGGGATGATAAAAGATATCATATGTCCAAAACTGGCACATCATACGATATCCAGTTGATTTTCCTAATCGTGATCCGTTGTTTGGTTGTATCAAAGTCCGGAAATCCACACGAGCAAATGATATGTTTATTTGTGTATTGTGTCTTATTGTACATGATATTATGTATTGCTGTAAATGGAAACTAAGACTTTCCTCATGAAAAATAATGATCGGATAGAAGAGATTGGTTTTAGTAGAATGAAACTTTATTACGGAATGAATCATATTAATAGTTAAAGAAATTGATCGGTTATCAGTGCGAATAAGTGTAGCGATGACACCGCGTGGCTGAACATAATCATTCTCTTGAGTAAATGTGTCATCAATAATAAAATTACCAACACATATCATAACAATAGTAATAGCAGTTAAGTACAATAGTTTGCTTTGCGTAGAAATGTTGCCAAAAGAATATTTCATTTTGATTACAGCATCCTATACAGGAAAAAGCCGTCAGCTTAACAATGGTCTTTTTCATTACGTGATCGAGTACGTTGAATATGAATTTCCGGATCTAGATCCTCTAGAAAATTTGTCATTCATTACAAAAAACAACACTATCTTTTCAAAATGTATTGGATGCTCACTGACGATAAAGACAAACGATTGTTAGCTTCGCCATTTTGAGGCCGACGCATAGAACTTGTATGCGCTCATTTTTTCCTCGAAAAAACACTCTCAAACCTATCTTCACTCGCGTGTCTTATCTTCATTTTGGTGATCCTGCGGAAAAATTTTAAAGCAAACACCGTTGATAGGTGCGGTTATTTCGTGATGACTGCGGGGACACCATTGGACACCGCAGTCTCGGTTTATGGCAGTAATCTTAAAAGGGACCGCAACATGATATACTGTTGAAAATTGCGATTTTCAAAACTGCAGTGAGATGTAGATTAGTGGCGGTATTCGCAAAATGCCATCTGTCATCATTTATATTTTCCAAACTTCTCATTGTAACCTGCTATTTCTGGATTTACTCAAAAGCCTGATCTTACCTTTCACAATTAGTATTTTATTTTTATGATGATGACATACGATTTCAATTTCTTGATACATAAAGTCATAATTTCACATAAGAACACTACAAAGGATAACGGTTCATGAATTTGCAACGTATAATAAGCCCTTTCTTCCGTTTATGACACTGAATTTTTTGAGTGAAAGCTTGATTAGAGTTAAATTTAGTTCTTTTTTTTCATATGAATTGAAAAATACTATAGAAAATCATTTAACCATTTAGAGTAGAAAAAAGAAATGTTTTTGTATCAAATTACGGTAAACTCCATGCTTGTACTATTATTACTGTTTACTTTATGTGCTAACGCGAATTAAATTTAAATTGAAAATAATTCCACCAATTGAATGTGAGGAAAATGCTTTTTAAGTTATATCAATATGAAATCTAAATAAACAGTAGTTTAACCTAAGACTCTACGTGAAAAACAACAATATTATGTAGAATATGTATTATTTTATTAGATGGCTCTTGCTAAGATAACTATTTATAGTATCCATCAGATAGTAGAAAATTTCTATTAGAAATGTGATATGTAATATTAATACAGATCTAACTTTTTTGATTGATAAAATTTAGGTATCTATTAAATCATACATATATGTGTTTCAAAGTATTGATCTACATTTATTTTCTAAATTCTAGTAGAAATGCATCTAGACTTTTTATAACTATTCATTGTTGTGGTTTATCAATTAAATATTCTAAAAATGTTGTAATGCGATGTTCAGACTTAATCTGTATGTAAATCTCAATTTTCCACCTTAGTCAAATCTTCTTTCTCTATTTTTCTTTTGGACAACATTATCGTTAAATTGTATTACTTGATCTGATATCTTTCGTTCTTACGCTGTGTATGTATATATAAAGATGTCGCTAATAACAACATTGTAACTGCTCTTATCGTTCTTTGTTGTTCTCTCTGAATATATCTCCTCCTTCTCTTATCCTTGAATTTGTAATTAGGAATTTAATAATCGTGTTCTATCAATCTCTTTTTTCTTCTCTTATAATTGTCAACCTAGTATAACGGGACAATAAAATTTGATATTAAAAAAAGGTAAATATTTTAATAAACGCATCTTATAGATAATTTACTCATTATGAAAAAAATAGATCATTCATCTGAACGACAACAATCATCAGTATTAACATAAATTAAGGCAGCCTTTTATTTACATATATCCATCATTAACATTGAACATCTGAGAAAGCTTGAGGAAACAGTAGCATAGATAAAAATAATAATAATAATTGGTAGATTTTTATAAAACTACTAGAAAAAATCTAATAAAAGATCTGACTATCGCGGTACGATTTAACCGCTAAAATGAACGGTGTTCAGCACCGTGATTTACTGCAGTTTTTATCAAAAAATTTTTCCGTGGGATGTGTAGCGTATCGTATGCTATTCTCGTTGTGAATTTTATGCCTCATATTTAACTCTATGTTCTCTGCTTATGTTTAGCATCTTCAGATGCATTGGCTTCTCTGGATCTCAGTCATTTTGGCGACAATAAAGTGTCTCAATAATCTATATGAAAGAGCTGTAGGATTTAATATATCTTTACTATGTAGTGGTACTTACACTCATCGTTACCTTGGTAAAAAAAGTAACTTTTTGAAAAACGCGGCTGTCGACGAAGTGTATCCGGTCCGTTCTTTTATCGTTCTGTATTCAATAGTCAATCACTTTTCCTTGTACTTTTTCATTCATTTTATTGAGCCGAGAAAGCATTTGCGTATGTTTATCGGAAACCTAGTACCCAAGCAGTCAAGGTTTTGGAAAAACGCGTGTTAACGCAGGAAAACACTATTTTTTATAGGGTTTACATGCGCGCAGGATTAAGTAGACATATAAACACGAAGAAACTTTCTTTCTGATTGTGAACACGGCTGAAAATTTTCTCGAGTATGATTAACAAACGTGTTTGCTAGAAGAAAGTGCTCTGTTGTGTCGTTTTATCGTTCACCCTTCTACATGAGATTATAAACATGTAGAAATCTTAAATACTTTGCGTTTAACTCTCTTGTTATAAATGTTGAGAAGTCTGCCATAAATAATGGTCGTGTTTACGCTTAATAGTTACAATTTTATGCTAATTATCTTTCATAAATTTTTTCTCGTACTTTTCTAGGATATTTTAGCGTGTTAACGATGAAAAAGTAAAAACAATATGTGCTTTTATAAATTAAATTCGTATTTACAAACATCGTACAGTTTTCACTTGACTTTTTTTCTGTACAATATTAAGGTCTGTTAAAAACATGCGTGAATAACTACCCAAGCAGTCAAGATTTCGACAAAACACGCGTAAAAGCTAAAAACGTATAATATTTCAGAGTTTAAACGCGTGTCGTAAAAAATGGCCATGGAAACACAGATATCTGTTTTGTTAATGTTTATACGAGAATTTTTTCCACCATTATAAAGTGATGTGTAAATAGATCAAGTATCGCTTTTTATAACGTCTGCTTGCTCTGTTTCTAATAAGAGTGTGCAAACGTTGGAATACCTTAGGTACTGCGTGTTATAAACTCAATAGTTTATATAAGAAAAACTGATTGGTCGAAAAACGAATTGAAACTACTAAATTAGATCACTTCCTAAAAATTTTAGCACACGGGCCTTTGGGATCGAGAAACACGAATCTGGTGTTAGTTTTTATTAGTGTTGTCTTCGCCCGAGAGACGAAACTCAATCTGTTTATTCGAAACGATGTGAAGGCATGTGTATGTACATGCCTGTGACATACCTCCCCACCAACGAAAAAAAAGAAACGTGTTCATACATTTTATGATAACGACATGTAAAAATATCCGAATGAGACGAATGAAAAAATGAAAGCAACAACTCAAAATACGACGAGTATAGTTCGATAAATTCCGAGTTGCAAAATTATAATAGAAACGAACGACGGTTGCAACGAAAATACTTTTTTTTAAAACGACGAATGAGCGGAAAAAAATTTGAATTAACTATCATTTATGTGTAGTGGCGACGATCAAACGTGATCGGAAAAAGAAACGAATGGATAATTTTATAATCCGAACCATATGAAAACAAGAATTACCAGCGAGAAATCGAGTGTCCAATGTCCAAGAGTTTGAATATGATGTGGCATCAGCATGTAGTAGGGTAAAGTAATAACGATTCAAGAGTACGAAGAGTGGCAATTGTTTTGATGAATAGATGCAAATAAACGAAGAACGACTTAAACGGGTTAACAAAACATGTTCTAATGAGGTAGATCCAATTGGAGACGTGAAAGTTGTGTATAGATGACAGTGAACTGTTTATCGAGTAGCGTCCAAAGTCTTTTGGTGGCGTACTGGAAATCCAAATCGATAATAAAAAAGAAAGACATACGTTTTTCAAAAACTATAAAAAATGTGGATAACGAGATTTTTTAGTTTTCATTATTAAACCAGATCGATTATTGTGCAGTTTTGACTTGAAAATACATTGTGATGGTTGATGTTCTGGAAAATGAGTAATTGCCGGCACGTTATTCACCTTTTCTGATAACGATGTATGTGCGAATGACTGATTCTGTGATAGTGCTTCATAAACGTGCCGCTCTGACGCATCTAGCCGAATTGAATGTAGTGACGTTGGACTTTCGAGAATGGATGAATATGTCGATGTGTCAGAAAGATTACCAACGTCGAATGTTAATTGTTGTTTAGTATTATGTTCTATAGAATGATCTCTATGTGATGGTGGAACAAGCATCATTACAAATTGTGTTCGAGCAAATGATTCACGTTGAGGTTTAATCTCGTGAATATGCCACGATTCCGTACAGTCAGACCACAAATTTTGAGATAGTTCTAGTTCAAAAAGTAAAGTGGAAGGCAATGAGAAATCCTCGGTATGATTTTTAGAAGATAAAGTAGTACTGTGATATAAGCGATAGTATGCAATATGTTGTGCATGCCATACAATGTTGCGTCGACGTAGTTTCATCATCGTTTTCGATTGTGAAAAATCATTTATATCATACGTATTTGAACCTTTATCAAAGCGTAATATCATTTCTCGTTTAAAATCCGACCACGTATTTAATTGACTTTGATTTTGTATATACCATCGCTTAGACTCATCAAGCAAATTCCGAATCGCATATTGTAATAATACGGAATCATCAACAAGATGAATCACTTTAGCCACCTTTTCAATATCAATAAACCATGCACGAACACATTGATGTCGTGTATCAGTATATCCATATAAATGATCTTCTACAAAGCGTCGTTGACCATTACTTAATTTAGAAAAATTCATCATGTGGGTTATCAATAGTAATAATTAGTAAAAGTTGTTTTTTTGCCGATGTTAAATGTGACAGAAATCGGGTCACGGCACCAATATTAGCGTTGTCTTCGCTTGAGAGACGAAACTCAATCTGTTTATTCGAAACGATGTGAAGGCATGTGTATGTACATGCCTGTAACAGTTTTTTAAGATTTTTCATCAAAAATTTTTTTTCACAAGGGTTGAGGCAAGCGTTTTTTGTGTCGAGGAATTTAGATTTGGTGTTAGCGTTTTGAAAATTAAAAGAAATTTCTTGAAATAATGGATACCGATATTTGGAAAAAATGTATAACAGTACGATACCGGCTGTAGTCAAGTGTATAAGTAAAGGGTGAGCCATAAATAATGGCGGTCTCCGTATTTCTTTAATTTCTCTGCCATTTTTTATTCGTTCGAACTGATTTTTTTTTAAACGATTCGTCGTTCGATTCTCTACAAAAGTCGGTATTTTCTGTTGCGTTCGATTAGATTAGTTTCATTTCAGAAAATGAAAAGTATAGATATACAAAAACTTGTACTTTCAAAGTGCGAAAATGGGGATGGCCCGACAAAGATTTTTCGAGATCTCAACGGTTTCCTCAGTCTTCGAACGATCGAGCGGTGGTGCAAAAGCATCCGCGACATCGGCTGTATCGATCTATCGAAACCATCCGGTCGCCCGAGAACGGTTCTAACGAGTGTTCGGAGAGTACTCAAGAATGATCTAGGACTCCATGCCTATAAAGTACAAAATGAACCGATGCTCACTGATGAGCATAAAGAAAAAAGAATCCAATTTGCTAATTGGATATGAACAAACTTCCGAAAAGAAGACACGATGAAAATTCTGTTTTCTGATGAGAAGATGTTCGACATTGATGGAGTTTATAACTCTCAAAACGATCGAATATGAGCGGTTAATCGTTCAGAAGCCGATATCAAAGGTGGTACCCGGCAAAAACGTAAATTTCCGCAAAAGTTATGGTTTGGTTGGGAGTTTGTTCTAAGGGTGTGTCACCTTTAGTTATTTTCGAGAAACGGACAGTAGATCATGAACGGCACATCAAGAAGGTGCTTCCAGTCGCTCTGAAGTTCGGTAATGATATGTTTGGGAACGACTGGACTTCCAACAAGGTGGTGCAAGGCCTCACTCCCATGCAAAATCACAGGAATGGTGCGTCAAGAACTTTCCATCGTTCATTGACAAGAACAATTGGCCTCCGAACAGTCCTGATTTAAATCCGTTGGACTATTGCATCTGGAACGAATTCGCTCAGCTGATCGAGTGGGATGCATTGACATCTAAAACAACACTAATTAGTGCTTTGAAACGTGCTGTTCGTAAAATTTTCCAAAATATTGTTTTTGAAAGCTGTTCGTCTTGGACTAATTGATTGTATCGATTGTCTCAAGACAAGGGGAATTATATAAGATAATAAAAATAGTCATTTTTGTAGAGAATCGAACGACGATTTAAAAAAGAAAAAATTTAGATCGAACGGATGAAAAATGGCAGAGATATTCAAGAAATACGGAGACCGCCATTATTTATGGACCACCCGTTAGAAACAAATCTCGATGGCCTTCGTCCCAGACTAATTCCTATTCCATTAATCAAGAAGCAATTCACTGTTCCTATAAAGCAACTCTTCAGACATCCACTCGATAGAGTGCAAAATGGGAGAAAAATTCCACAAGTCAGTCAAGTTCCACTTCAGACATTGCAAGTGGCGTCAGTATATGTACCACTCAGCAGAGTGAACAGAGCGGAAGACATAGTCATTCTTCGACCTTTTGATAGGAAGGTTCTACAAGTTCGATCCTCTCTTGCTCAAGACACTGAACTAAAACACCTAGATGAACTTGACAAAAAGACAAAGCTAAAGTGTGTCTCTTTCATTTCCTAAATATGTGTAAATCGATACTTTGCTAAAAGTCTGGTGTTATTGTAGGCATATAAAACGTAACATCATTTGAAATTATCTTAAAATCATTATTTATAAATATTCATTTCCTTTACCTCTATTTACACTTATGTTAATTATTATATAATTGTTTGTTTTCTGTCATTGTACCAGATATTGCCTCTTGTATTTTCTTTGTTTCGCTTTTTGATGTAATCATCTATAATCTTTCTAATTGTATTGGTATTTCTTCAAAATATCTAATCTATGCTGGAAATAAACTTATATACAAAATAATGCATTAAAATTATAGCATCCGCAAGCGAGTCTGCCTCGACGAGCGTTACTTGTTTTTTCCGCGCCACATTCATTTTAGGGTATGAAACACTAAAAACAAGCTCTACGGTAGTCTTTTGCATCGTTTTTTTGCATGTTTTGTTGACAAATTTCTCAAAGTTGACTTTCGAAATCAAAAGAGCCTCAGAAAATCTTTTGAAACTTTCTAAACTGAACATTTCCATGTCCAAATATTGAACATTGGTTTATTTGCTCCTTACAAACAGCAAGAATAATGGTAGTACGCGTGACATCATTCTCACTATACGTAAGCTATCTGAGCGGTCCATGCGAGTTTTTTCAGGATTTTTCATTCACACATGCATCCAACTTTGATCGCACTGGTTTCAAGTAGAACTCGATGTAATCTCACGATTTCAATGATAAAACGTCCGAAAATCATAACATTTCCCTTAACAAATCAGTGAAGAAACATGGGAATTTTGAAAAACCTTAAGCCGATTCGTTTTTGTACTATTTAGTGCGGTGATTACATCAGTACAGGCAGTGTTCGACCAGCTCCATCGATTCCAACCTCCAACACGTTTCGCGCCCACTCAAGAGGGAACACCGATACTTCAAATTCTTTTTTAGAGTATTGGAGTATCACTGATTTCCCATTTTACCCAATCCATGCTCACCCTCATCCGTAGGTCAAATCGAAAAACATTATATGCCAAAATGCTCAGCTTGAAATACTCTACAAATCGTCAAAGTTTAATCGAAATTGGAAGAGGTCGTCGAATCGGCTGGTGGTTTCCCCATACGTGTATAACTTTAAGTTTGAGTTCGAGTATTCCAAGCATTCGATATCAAAGTGACGGTTCGGAGTGGGTGCTAAAATAGTGGAGTCCTAGAGGAATTTGAAATTTGAATACTTGAACTCAACTTTCAAGTTTGACACTACTGACCCCCAAATAAGGTACGGATGGCAGCCCTGGTCGATACACTCTAAAAAAAGGATCTTCCCTCCGATACACGGAACGATCTTGTTTTGGTTTAGTAAAATGAAGGTTCCGAAGAGAACCTTATAGGAAAAACTGAGAACAAAGGTTCCGCAACAAAGGTTTAGTACGAAACTTTTTTTCTTCAAAAGACAGAAGGTTTCGTATCATAGGTACCGCACGGAACTATCCGTAACTATATTAAAAAAGGTTTCGTGAAAATCCATAGCTGGGAAACCTTTGTTGTATTAGTTGTTCTCTTGGTTTAAGTGACAGACTCTTTTACAGTTATCGTCTCACAGTCTCCGTATTCAGTCACTACAGAATACATTGCTCAAAACTATCTTTCGAACGTCCACACACCCTCACCCACCCTTTCATCGTGACACGAAGGTGAGAGTAGGTTCTAACCATTTCAGTAGATCCATTGAACTCAACTCTAAAACGAGAAAGACGATAGAATGCGGTTTATTAGATATTGTCAATTACCTAGTTGAATGCCAGGCTACTGAAAATTTCCCGCCGATAGATTTCCGTAGATGTTAGTGACGACTAGTGGAAAAAAAAACAAGAAATGAATACAAAATGAAAATTGCATGGATATTTATAGGGTCTCATCGGACGGTCTATTAAAAAATGAACGTCGGCTGGTGTAAAGGGCTATGCCTTTCATTGAGTCTTCTCCTTTTCCTAACTGAATCAACGGCAGATATCAATGGTTTGGTAGAGGGTTCGTCGAACAGGAACAATAATTATGAGGTCATTGTTTGTTTTCCGGAACTTGTACCGAACTACTGACCAGTAAAGCGTATATTTGTACATACGAGTAAATTATGGGAAACCTTGAGCGGCTATACGAAACTAGGGATGGTTTGGTACAAATATTGTCAAGCCTTCACTCTTTCGACGGAGTAGATAATGATTTCCCAAAAGTTATACTAAACTAGTCAGAGGCATACAGAACTCGTCGTAGTTTAGTGTATATTTTTTTCAAACCTCTGAGTAATATACAAAGCCAGCAATAGTTTGGCATGAATTCTGCCGAACCTTACGCGCGGAAAATAAATCGCTGTTAGTTTCGTATAAATTCCACCAAATCATGAATAAGTATACGGAGTTGCTGATGATTTCGAAGAATCTCCGCCGAACAGTTACTCGTTCTACGAATTTCTTGATAGTTTTGAATAAATCCTATCGAACTTGCGATTACTGTCCGAACCTATTGATATTTCCGCAGAAGTTAGGCACAACGTCTTTGCAATATACAAAACTATGTATCGTTCTGTGTAATGAAAACGAAACCTGTTATACGAGCTGCTGACTTCTAGATAGTTTCATGCTAAAGGTACGGAACCGTTTCGAAACTGGTAGTACTTTGGTTTGTTGCGTATAAAATCCACAAAACCAATACCAATTTGACTAAGGCAAAAGTGCTCGGTATTATCTATGCAAAACCTTGTTTTTTCTTACTGGGGTTCTAATCGTTCATTATAAATTGTGGGTTAGCTTTTTGAACTTATACGAAGCTATGAATAGCTCTTTGTACATGAAACCGAGTCTTCAAAGACACAATCGGGTGATGAAAAATTTCGCATGTACTATACTGAACCTTCTGAAACATAAATGATATGCCATTGGCTGAGTACGAGACATGCAGAACCACGATGTATTTAGTGATGAGCAAGCGAAACTTTTGGTTAATTTTCGAAATTTATAAAGATTCGTACATGCTATGCAAAACTCAGAGCCGATCAGTACTGAATATACTGAGCTGTTAAGAATTTACAAACTCGTTATTGGTTTCGACCAT